AAAAAAAAAAAAAAAACACGTGCTCCACCACCGTGGGCCAAGTCCCAGTAGCAGGGTTGAGCTACCTCAACGCCTCAATCGGGATGCTTTTGCGGAGATGTGCAGAAATTGTGTTGAGTTTCCTGAACTGCACGTCTCCACAAACACGTCCAGATTCGGGCGTTGAGGTAGCTCAACGCTGCTAGTGGGACTTGGCCCGGACCCGAATGATCGATTTCTGACCGCAGATTTGGAAGATCAACGACCAGAAATCAAGGAGCAGCGTAAGTAGGACTTGGCCCCGGTGCTGCTGTAGCTCAGTTGGTAAACCCATAAACTGTCGAAATGGGGACCCAATTTTTTATTTTATTTTTTTTCTGACCCAAATTCAATTTTTATTTTTTATTTTTTTAAATGCAGTTATTCCTTTCAATAGTAGGAGGCCGGGGACCCCGGGATAACTCCGGGTTGAATAGTAGGAGGCCGGGGACCTCATAATTCAACCCGGATTATCCCAGCAGCATCAGCCGGTTTAGCTTACACTGGCAGGCCCCGATAACTAGGGACCCACTTTATAACCTCTCTTGAACTCCCAGGTTAACCCATTAGTGCCTGGGTCTAGTCGAGACAAAATAAGAAAAACACCAAGCCTTGATGATGCCAGATCGCTCAGGAGTGAGTCATAGAGTTGGGGCCGCAGGCCCACACACCACGGGAAAATCTTGGGTGGGCGGGACCACTTCGCCAAAATCTGGCGACGAAAACGACTCGGCCTTTGAGCGGACTGGTGCCTGTGGTGTGACTGCAGGTTTGCTTATGCGATGGGCGCAGCTGCTGGCGGACGAAATCTCGAAGCCGCTCCGCGCGAGTCAAACCAGCCTGCTGCGACCGGTCCTGTGCCAGTCACTTATACTCTTGCTGCTCGTGGTTCCAGTGGTGGCCGGTCCTCTGAGGGGCTCCTTCCCGCAGGGTGAGTTCTCTAACACCTTTTTCGCCGTTCTTGTTTTATCAGTTCGCAACCGTGGATCTTGATAAATTGAGAATTCAAATCTTTAGAAAAATAGGCTCAACTTGAAAAACTGAAGATCTGCAATGCAGGACCACGGAGAGATAGATGGATTGCGATGACTGATAGATCCCGGTGTCTTGTCAGGAAACCAACTGATGGATGAATCGGAACTAACCGAGTAGGTACCAACCGCGAGGGTTGGAGTACGACTGTTGCTGTCTGGGTCCAGTCGAGATAAAATAAGAAAAACACCAAGCCTTGATGATGCCAGATCGCTCAGGAGTGAGTCATAGAGTTGGGACCGCAAGTCCACACACCTCCTAGACCTCCCCAAATCCCTCCATCATCCCACAAATGACGTGTCGTCTTGCAGGGAGTGGTGGAACGAGCGAATGAGCGATGGAAGCTGGAGGCAGAAACGAGCAACGCCGGAAATAGCTGGAAGTTATCAAGCAGGGCTTGAATGGAGTAGCAAGCTAATAGAGGAGTTGGACCAGGAAAGCGATGGCAAAATGGGATGAAGAAATTGCTGCTTGGATTGAATGAGTGGTTATAACGAAATGGAGTGGGTGGGAGTTGCATGTCATGTAATAATTTGGATGTTCTTTCCTTCCTAAGTAGCCAATGGTTCGTGGAAATCGAGAGCAGGTGCCGAACTACTGATAGCAATGGCGAACCAATGGTGTCACCATCCACTGTAGATGCAGTGGTGAATTGCCTAAGTGGAGCCTTTAGATTGCTTGGTAGGGAGGAAGGGGATGATCCTTGTCAAAGTAGCCGGGTAAAGGCGTTTCGGAAAGCGTATAGAGAGTATGGGTTGGCGAGAGGGGTTATGAAAGAGTCAGCATGACCACTGGTTTGGGAGAAACTTACGGTTGTGATTGAGTATATAAGATGCAAGATAAAGATTCAAAAAAGGATGAGAGAGGCGGAGGCTTATCAAGATGCCGCAATGTTCTTATATTTGTGGGAGAGTTGGCAACGATGCGGTGAAGGTTTGCGATTGCAATATAAAGAGATTGATATTGGAAATTGCCTTGTACGACCAGGATATACTAAGACAGATCGCTATGGCGGTCGATTTCTTATAAGGTTAA